CCCTTGTGGTGGGTCACGGCCCAGATTCTGTGCCCCTGCAGTGGAGACAATAATAGGCTGGTGATGTATCAACTAAGATAGACTTTGTACAAGGGTGTTTTTACCTTGCGTGAACGCTTCAATATTACAACTCCATAAAATTTTGAGAGGCTTTCATACCTACGTATAATAATCCCCGAAAAATATGTCCTAAAGCGTCAGAGTACATGACAGAGTTTGCCTCCGGTTCCTACTTCACGGAATAATAAATGTTACTTACGCTCAACATTTTGCGAACTTTTATTACCCCCGAATAAAAATCCCTTGTGTACGCTGACTCTAAAGTGTTTCATGATAATGTGTCAGTTGATATATTTAGGGGTAGTTAACGAATAATTTATTTTCCGTTTAACACTACAAGCTTCAATGATACATTAATATCTTCTTAAATTGAAGTAACTGTTTTAAAGTACCTAACATAATTTTCGTTTCTTTTATCTATTGATTCAATTGATCACATTTTAAAATAATAAACAAGGTAGATCATTTGTCACAATGTTTATTCCCAATCTTTGGACCCTATAATGCTTTAAAACTAATAATAACATAAATACAACACTGCCATACGTTTACCGAATTAACGAAAGTTCATAACGTTTCGCTGATAACGTCTTCTGTGTAAAACCAATGTTGGTATAAGGGTGAATCAATTCTTTAGAACACAAGTATTACTATAAAAGTTCATTTATTGGTTTTACAAGAAGACGCATGAAGCAGACAAATCTACAAAGCAAAACTTCAAAGCTCAACTGTTTTTTATATCTAGTTTCAATCCTATTCTTTACACCTATAAACTTTAGTACTAATTTTATTATTATTACATGAATATCGATAATATATGAAACATAATGATCTTTTTTGTATTTATATATCAACAATAAAATAGCTATTAAATGAAATTTGAGACAGTGTATATTATTTAAAATTTTAGTTGAGTTCTTCTATTGTTCGATTTACTTGGAGACAGAATATTATTATTTATTTAATAGGGGTTATCAGTAGAATAAAAACTTCGTTTGAGGATGAGCTCAAATTTATTTGAATTAACAATGACGTCTCCAATGCCACAATACTCCATAAAGTAAGAAAAAGAAATTATTGAACATCTATAAAAGTTGTAATAATGATAATTAAGCTAAATTTACCACTATTTTTTTACAATGTCATTGTTTTTTTTTTCTTAAACCACAATAACACTTTACCTCTGCTCTAAAAGCATTTAAATAATCCAAGTCACACAAATCTAACAATTAATTACTAACTATATAGTTTGCATGTTTTATTTTGCTCGATATACAAATAATTTTCAGCGACTCTAACTGTGGTCACCGAATAGTTAAACAAAAACCTCATTAATACTGGATCCAAAGCGAAATGTTAAAATTAATTTGGTAAATAAGCCATCGTAATTTAAATAATAATAACAATAAAAATAACATTTAGATACTACAGCGATAAGTAAATTAATCGAAACTTGCGCGACACTACTCGGGTTCTATATGCGTAATCGCCCACATTTAACATAATTTCATCGACGTTATTATCCATCAACGTACGAAAACAACACATATTAGGTATCTTATACTCCGAACGGTTACTTTGTCTCTTTATTTCTATTCATATGTATCTCTTAGAATAGTATTTTTAACTAAATTTATTAAGGGGCACAGAATTGATATGTTTCCGATGCACGGCGTTTGTGTGATACCGCTTCACTTAACCTAACTTGCAAGGCGATGCTACACCCCTACTCTACCCTATCACATGCGGGCCAATGTCACGCGTCTCTATGACGACGATCCGAACACCTCTACTCGATTTCCAAGTAAACGTTAACAAAATATCGATTTACGGCTTGTCGTTTGTATTTTAGGTTTCGATCAAAACAAGAAAAAATCACAACGCTAAGCGGGAATGGCTCCAAGATACAGGACACGAATGCAAGCAAAAGAGTCTAAAGAATTAAATTAGATTTTGATATAGCGTGACATATAGCCGATTGCATTACAAGTAGTAGACGAGATACAGAATAAACGTCTCTATGAAACCGCTTCTTTTACTTCTAATTACACATTAATATTACACGATGATATGTATCGAGTAGTCCCGCAAAAGGTGACGTAGCCGTGTCCGCAGCCACTGGACGTCTCTTACTCGCTATCTACGGTTGTTGGACGGAATCATGGCGGCGTCGGCGTCCCTTTGCGCAATCCGTGCGATCCGTCCGCCATTTTGTTCAACTGCCATTTCGCAATGTGTCGCACTTAAAATGGCGGGCGAAAAACAGACGTACAAATAAAAAAGCTATGGTTTTTCGATGACTCGACAGTTGCACATATAATTAACACTTCTTATACACGATTGTCAGTGAAGAGAGCTATAATACACCATAGAGACATCGAAATACACTAAAGCCACAACTGAAAAGAAAAAACAAACTTTTCGTTGTATTTTTAGTATGCGATCATGGACGCCGAACGCCGAAGGTATGGGAGATCACTACTACATTATTACACAATTACTTACATACGAATTAGCATTATACCGAATTAAATAAGTAAACATTGACTTAGCTTAGTTATTAAAACCGACAGTGATTATTAATATATAAGAGAATTCGAGATATGAGATGTTATAGAAAATTTGTCACTGCTTTATAAATAAGTAATTAACAAAATTATACGTTTGATGATTTGCATTAAAATAAACGTTCTAATGAATCGACATCTTAAACAGTTAGACATCATTTTTGATTTTAACACATAGTTAGGTAACAATAGTTATGGTTTGATGCCTTATCTATTGGTGTCACCCGTAATTAGACATCTTTCTCGACCCTGGCTCACGTACAGTTTTGGAGAGCGTAATTGCTTCCAATGAAAGTCAAAATAGTATTCACCTTACAAAAAAGCATTATTGCCGATACATTGTCGCCTACATAATTATTACAAGTTTGGTACGGTCTGAGGTTAGTATTAAAATTATGTAAATCCTTTATCTTTGGTCTGTACACCACGATACTCGGTAAAACTGTGATAGTCATAGTCCCTATAAACAACGTATAAAATTTTTCTAAGTCAAAAATTGACGAAATTTCTATTTAATATTGACTAAGAGATTTTCATAAGAATTCACATGCGGAATTTCCGGCCACTGACCGCTTGGTCGTGTGAATACCTCATAGATATCTGTCGCGTCAAGACTTTAATTCAAATATCCGAAACCTTATAATTACAGCCTAAGCAGGGATTTTTTTTTACTTTTTTTCGTATAATTTTTACATGTTTACATCAGCAGAATACGTCACTAGATATCTATAATAACATTAAGATTTATTTCATTTTTGGTTTATTGCTATCTCGCACTGTACTTCGATCCTCGTTACCTTGTACATCAAAACATAACGCGCGGGTAACTCAGTGTTCGAACTGTATGCGATAGTCAACTAGCTAAAAATAAAAAATATATTAATCTTCCATTTGGTTAACTCTAAAACTTCAGTAGATATTAAACTCCATTACATTGTTTCATTATTATGTATGAATATTTTTCATTAAATAGTAATGTAACTATGTCGATTCTCTACAATAAATACCCTTATCTAATTTTATTGACCTAACGATTACACAATAAAAGTAACTACTAAATTTTTAAATTAGATTATTTCCAAAAAGCTCGTCAAAGCATGCAGATAGTAGAATAATCGTTTCACTATTCAGCGCGGGCGCACATGGCGCCGATTAATAACTATTAATTAATAATAATGATTACATTTAATTATTTAACTCTCATAAGGCCAAGGCTAAATTCTCGCAACAAGACTGAACTTATCTCGATTGTGTCGCATCGCATACTAATCGTAAAGACAACAAGAACCGCAAAGTTTGTTAACGAAACTTCAATGGAGAGATCCAACTAATTAAGAATATAATCACGAAGGTTTAGATTGAATCGTAATTTTCAAGGCACAAGAAAGTTTGGTTTTTAAACAGGAAATTGTCTAAAAGTAAGATGGTTATTGGATGCGAGGGAGCATCCCAGTTCAGCGGTCCGCGGCTCCAGTCAACGGAATCGACGCGCCGACTCACAGGAATACATGCTAACGAACAATATTGCGATACTTCCATTTACAGATACGATAGATCGTAAGACCAACACTAGAGTGCCAGCGCTTTAACGAGTGATTGAACATTATAAAAATTACTAAGAAAGTATTAGGTAAATATAATTTGAAATAGTCATGAAATTCATTTAAATACGCTAACATTATCGAGGCTAAAACAAAAGTATCGTAATTTATTACATACAACTTTATTTAAAATCATTCAACTTGAAATATTATTATTAACAAAACGTAATCTTTCTATGAAGGGCACCTTTGGTTTTTAGCTTATTCGAATGAGATATATCCTAAAATGTTTTAATTTCTGGTTACAATACGCTATATTCATAACAAATCCTCTCAGTTGTATACACCGGTCTTGTGAAAACAAATATACAAACTTTCTCATACAATAAGTTAGTTGTAAATAAATCTTATATTACACAATAAAATGAATAATATTAAATAAACAGATTACATTTATAATAAAAAAAAATCAAATTATATTACTTTATATTATGAACGGTAAACAATAACCTGGAATGTTAATAATAATACAATTAACACTTGCTAAATTTGGTATATAAACATAAACACACCACACCCCTGATGTTGTTTCAGTAAACGGAGTCATAACTGAAGAGGAGATAAGAGCTTATGTATTTTACGTAACTTTACAAAGCGGTCCGCGTGTGTGGACCGATGAATCTTGATCCGATGTTAGCCGTAGTGTTGACACAGGTTGTGGGTGTCATTAGCGTATGCTCCTTCTCCGGTTGTGGTTCCGATGCGACTCAGAGGATCAAGATTGCGCGTCCCTCAGTTAGCTGGTTGTCAAGTGCCAAGAGCCACAAACGAACTAATGCTGTTCGCCCTCTTCTCCGCCTTTGGCTCCCTGAGAAATATAGCAATCAGTAATTATTTAAACAAAAAGAAAGTTACATAAAATAAATAAAACATTTAAAGTCACGACTTAGTTATTATGCAGGCATTATAACTATTGTGCGAGGTGCAATGGTGAAACATTAGTTACTTTGCTTTCAATAAAATAAAGGATTTAGGATCATGTCGAAGTGTATAAAATGGCCATTTTAATTATCAATAAATAAGTTTTATACACTTTAATCAATGTCACTAAATGTAAGGAATAAAAGCATAAGGTACATTTAACTATGAAAATTATTATGCCGATTTGTTTTTAAAACTCCGATTCGATTAACTTATTAAGATGGTATAAATTAAAAAACACTCTCTGACATCAATAAATTTAAAAAACATCTGAGCGTTTCTATTTTTTTTGTATTATAGTAAGAGGCAAAGACCTTCAAATAAGAGGCCAAAAGAAGCAGTTGTGTACCAGAAGTAAACGTTATAGGGGATTGGGTATGACGCAATACCTAAAACACGCGAATAGATCGTTACTTTTCAATAATAATAAAAGAGTTTGAAACTTCACCATCCAGTGATAGTGTTACTGCGGTTTTACTTTTATAGTAGGAGAATCCATCGCGGGGATTTTTGGATTTACTCGAGTGCGGCAGAATAACATTAGAGGGGCAACGTTGCACCTTGTGAAGTACTCCCTCCATACCTGGGGAGTCTATATAGAAAAAAAATCGAGCGCGTCAGACATTGAGAAGGGTTGTTACTAGACGTTCTTCATTACAAAGATGGCTCAGGTATGGTGCGAGTACATCACAAGATGCAAGGTTGCCCCCTCATGTTAATCTGCCACACTCGAATAAATACAAACATCCCCGTTTTAGCTTCCCTACTATAGATATTGTATGCATTTCGTACAATTCGTAATGGCTCGCTTCTTTATGCCTCTAATTTTGAGGCGCTTTTACACTGGCTTGTCCCACAGTTCGTGATAATGTAGATGGAAGCGGACCAGCCTTCTCTAAAGCAAGCAGAGATTTTTCTGTTTTGTCGCAGAGTTTTAGTGTAAGGTACGATACGTCCGTCATAACCATAGACAAGGAGACTCAATGCCATATGGCTTCTTTATTTTAAGAAATTGTTGATTTCGTGTGAGTGTCACTGAGTCCACTCTCCAAGTATATGATCTCAAAATTACGACCTGTGGAGTGCCAGTTAGTCTGTATTACGAATAGTTCGCGCGCATACTTCATGTGCGAGAATCCAGCCGTTGTGTGCCATCTTGTGGCGTGCATATTCGAGGTGTATGGCCCCCTCAGAGCTGAGCAGCAGGGCGCCCTGCAAGCGGCCCATGGCGGCGGCCGCGTCAGTCGCGCTGGCGAACTCGACAAACGCCACGGGGCCCCCGCTGCCGCCATTCCCGCCGGTGAGGAGCCGCAGCCGCGAGTAGCCCGGGCAGCTGTACCCACCACACTTAGTTGTGCCCACTCTCGTACCCCCAAACGAGTGTGTATGCGAAACGCGTAGCTCCCGCCAAAAATTAAGTAGGTACTAACAACCGATTAACGAGAGCATCCGATTACCATTCTTTCCGTCGATGGTTATATTTTATGGGAAATATTTTAATTATTCTCAAAAAATAATTAATGATCACCTGAGAAATAGAATGGGTAACCTAAAGGTTAGGTTAGGTTGCCGATTGTATTTTTTGAGGATCATTTTTTGATGATCATTAATTAAATATGTGCCTTTTTATGTATATGAGGACTGTAAATCTACCCTTTCTGATGTTAATAGTGGGCGGAGTCCAGTTGCGGCAAGGCAACGTGTTCCTTCAGACGTCTTCACTTTATCGAACTGAACCCAATTCCTCTGACAACTCGGTAACCTTATTCATTGCAGGGAAGCTACCATAAAATTTGTGATGTACCAGCTGCGACGCTACTATTCCTGAATAACATTTTGATATATTTACTCCATTCTCTAGAACTTTAGAACATCTGCCATCGCCGAAAGCAAGCAAAGCGTGCAGTTTTATTCAGATGCAAAAAATCTTTTAGTCACAATCAGAAACCTGATTTAATCTTACCGCTTTTTCGTGATATGTGATATCTTATTCTTATTACACATATATTGTGTTATAGGAATAATTACATTCAAAATCGTTTAAAGGGTTGAATAACGTCTCTGATTGCTAACCTTTACTGTTTTAGCAGTCGTGATCACAACATTTATTAAGTAATCAAATGGAACCAGTGACAGTGAAAAAATATTTCAAGAATGATAATGGGACGAACCTTTTTAAAAATTGTTTCTAACAAGGATCAAGATGCTATATTTCTTAAGATAGATAGTTGAGGAGCTACGTGATGAATTCCAAATTTCTGATTGGTCTATATTACCTATTCGACGCTCATGATTTGTAACAGTAATACCGCAAATACTAGCATTTCATTGAAAAAGAAAACCAAAAGATGGTGGCCATTACTGTTAAAGTGCTCAAATAACAAATACGGCTAGTGTGACAAGTGTTTCATTCTCCATAACGCAATCCATTTAAATAAATACCAGCCAAAAGCTCATACAAATTTTATTACTAAGTATCCAATTTTTCAAACGATCTGTTAAAAGAAACAATTAGGATAAATTTGACTGTTCTTGATGAACAAGAGTGCTGTTAAGTGTAACAATGTTTCATATATTTCTCAAATATTATAATTATCATACAATGATGATAATATGGACAAAATATCGATTGCGATGTGGAGAATAGTGTTCTTAGACTGTCATGCTTGAGTGGTACGGGTGCAGGCCTTCTGTTCTCACACACACTGAAATTTTACTTTAATATGAGGATTTATTTGTAAAATCAGCACTTTTCATTTCATTTGTGTGAGTGGTCACAGAATAACAACATAAATCCAGTAATGTTCGTGTGGACGACAAGGTGACATTCTGTGCAACATGCACTGTGGAAGATACATAGATTATAGAAGTTCTTAAATTATTTTTAAACTTATTCTTAACTTGAAACTTGGCAACTGACGGTCAAAGTATTTTTTATTACCCAATTTATATTAGGTGGTCGACAAATAATATGTAGAAAAGGATTCTGTGAATCTAGCTCTAACTGGACATAAATGATTTATTGTTCAAAATACTTTTAGCCAAGAAAGCTCTTATTTCAATGATATAGATAATATTTTAAACAGTAAATTTATATTAACCCTTTTTTAGTGTTTAACGAAATAGTTGACAATATACGGATATGCAATAGTCCAATCATTTATGTCCCGCACGTTATTTAGTCAAAGGGCTATTCCACCTGCCGCATTTTAAGTCAAAATTAAATTAGAAATATCATTAAAGTAGTAGCAAAAATGTTGCAACGAGAACAGCCCTAAAATAGGTGACGCTTCTTAAAAGTAGACTTCTGTGCATCGCGGTCGATCTCAGACCCGCGCGATAATTCGTTTGCGACTGACACGCGCGGCTGTTGCGACAATAGTCAGTGTATGAAAATATTAAGGCACCATTTCCGAAGTCTACGTGCGGGCGCGTGCGGCCTACGGTGCCAATTTCCATTCATTTTCATACACTCACTAAAGCCGGATCTTCAGCGCGTGTTTTGCCCTACACAATCAACAAAAACATATCACTTAACAAGAGCGTTTACACAAAACTTTGTTTCACCACACATATTTGTTTGCATCAACAAAGGTAATGCTTTGCGAGCCCGTCGAAGAATATGTACACAAATCACCTCCGCGCGGGTTGAGGGTCAGGGTATTGTTTCTCCGCGCATTTTTTTGACAACTAGATAGCGGGAGCTGCTTTCCAAACCTACGGTCCGAGTGCAAATTTTCACTTTGACGTTTTAATTTTGACAGAAAATGTGTTAAACTTTTGCCAAATTTGACATTTGTTGCACCTGGATCGTATGTTTGGTACGCAGCCATGGGTATGTTGTGTACGACAGCCAGGTGAGCAGTAGACGGCGTGTGTAGAGAAACATGTTTCACTAAACGCGCGTGTTTTTGTTGAATGTTTTCAAAAAATCTTTTGCTGGAGACACGGCTTTATCGCATCAGCCGCGCGAGTCAGTCCCAACCGATCGATAACGCGCGGCTCCGATCGGCCACAATGCACGGAAGTCTACCTTAAAAGGTTCTTTGTACCTATATATATAGGCATCTTACCTGCTGAAAATCTCCTTGAGCTCATGCTCGGAGACGAACTGGCCGAGGTTGGCGACGAACAGTGTCGAGCAGGGCGCTGCCGGGTGCGCGGGGTGCGCGGGCGGCGCGGGCGCGTGCGTCGGTACCGCCGCGCCCGGCGAGCCCAGTGCCGGCGCAGGCAGCACGCACGCGCCCAGCGTCAGGGGGGTCTGTTCGAATTTCAATTCAGTTGAATACAAACTCTAAGCACTCTAAGGTATATATTATTTCAATGGATATGTTACGTTCATAGTAATTGCGTTTCAAATCTGTTCCGACTTCAAATGTTTTTTGTGCATATAGTAAATTTTAAGAATCGCTCATATTATTCCGGGCCGCAGCGGGGCAGAGTTGGCAGCATCGCACCGCAAAATGCTTACTTAGCATATTAGTGACGGGCCGGGTTGCAGCGTATTGACGGATTTTGGGTACAGTGTACTGGGTTTCGTACCTTTCGCCAGATGTACAGTCAGCTCTTACCACAAATGAATTAAAATTCGCGTCGTGGCGAGACTCCAATTGCGCAACCCTCAGGGAGAAATTGGTCTTCGTACGCAAGTATTATGTGATCTTCTCTGGCTTCCTGGTGTTATGCAAGCGGAACACATACAGCAGCGTCACAGGTATCGCTGGACGCAGCAGGTTATTCGGTTCAATCGGGGCGACAGCGCATAGATTGCGACGAGCGGACTTTCTCTTCTTCCCCTCTACTGTGATGAAACCCTCTTCGTCACAAATACGGTTTCGTGATTCCGACGGAGTTGCACAAGGGATGTCTTGGCTATCCTTCTTCGTTGGATGAGTGGATGTCCGATCAGGTTGCGTGACAGCGGCGGGTCGGCTGGCAGCTGCAGCCGCGTAAGCGTGTTTTAGTAATAACATGCAGTCGCGTGACGTCTCCGGTGTAGCTGAGGGGTGGCTCTACTAAAAAACTCTACTTGGGCCCGCAACTCACCAATGCTGTTGTTTGATTCCTTCAACTTGTTCACTACATCGGCCAAATTTGCTTTTAGGAAGTTGATGTTCTTGACCGTTAAAGTTAAGCAACATTCGCAGTGGTCGGTCATTGGATGGGTGACCAAAACTTACTACTCGAGCTCCTCCGTGCTTCGGAGACCACGTTAAGCCTTTGGTCCTGGCTGTATTTGCAGTCGTTAGCACTCTCCCATAAGCATTGAGCTGGCGTAGTGGGTCATGGCCCAATCTCCCTATTCCATCCATAGGGAAGACCTGTGCCCCTGTGTGGTGACATTAATAAGCTGATGATGGTGATGATGAATGTAAGTACGCCACCGGTTCGTAAATCTTCGACGGGGGACCTCATCAAGAAACTCAGCAAGGGCTGTTTTTTCCTGTTAGTTGTTGCGACTCGTTAAAACAAGTAAACTTTTTAGTTACTTTAAATTTGTTGACGTTGCAACTCGTAAAACACTTTTTAACCGCTTTAAATTCGGATGTTATGAGAGTTTTTTCAGCAAAAACTTGAATAAAAAAATGGGTAATACAATTGCAATTTTGAACTCATCAACAAAGTATGAAAAATCATGGGGTTTGGTTCAGCTATTTACTGCAGTCACTACTGCAGTCTACCGATTCAATGAATCCGCAAATTGTTTATCATATCGACAGTAGAAAGGCAAAATCGCTAATACTAAAGTTAGTAAAGTGGCATTTAAGCGATTTTTTTTTCACTGTCGAAATGCAATTTGTAATTTAATGTAAGGGCTATAATATGTGTCAGATAGAGTACGATTCGATATTTTGTGTTGCTTCTAAATCTTAATGATTTTCTAAACTCGCCCCGTATTATCGACTTTTTTACAAGAATGCGACGGGTGCGGCGCGTTTACAAGCTGCTAGCGAACTTGCTGAATTGTAGCTTGTAAACTTGCCTCGTGTCATCGAGCTTAAGTCGAATAAATTGATTGCCCCCGAAAAATAAGAATAGTTAACAAAGTGTCTTACGTGGTGTGGCCTATCGGCGGCAGCTAGTCAGAGGTAGGAACGCACTGGCGCCATCTGTGGGTGGATGGCGGGGTGCACCAGGCCATGAGAGAGCGCCGGTAGCTCGCCGCCGTACGCCAGCGGGTGGTGCCACAGCTCCGCGCCTCCTCCCGGGAAGAACGGGCTCGCTAAGTCTGCGCCACAAACATATATCTCACCAACGTGAATACCTGATCTAAAGAGATCCGGTTAGCAAAGAGTTAATAGTGTTACCTAAACATTGACGTCATTAGGAGCCAGAATAATGAAAGTAGGTATCCCCAGTAAGTTTCTCATCACTACTCCATTAGGAAACTGAACACGGAGTAGCTGTATTCGAGTCAATTAGCACAGGCTTCTATTAACATAACTGCTATAAAATCCATTATTTACAAAGTGCTAGACATGTTTTCACGAAAGTGTTTGCAAATTCTGTCTCTCGAAGAGTTATGCAGTTAATTAAAGCGTTCTCATGAAAACATGTAAAAATAGACGTTTACAGTGGCAAAGAACCCGACAGATCAATCAATAAATAATAATAGCTTCGCGGAGCTAGGCCTTGCGTGGTACGTGTAAGCGATCACAGATACTTGCCCGTTGCGTTAGCTCGAGACGCCCCAGCACGTCGTATTTACTTATTCAGACCACGTAAAGGGAACAGTGGAGATACGAGCAATTTCAGTGTAAGGATCGCACCAGACGAGGGTTGTGTGAAAACATTAGTGTTGAGATGAGGTCGGATCGGGTGCGGGACGGTCGAGCGAGCGCCAGCGGGCGGTGTGTGCGTACGGCGGTACTTACGTCCAGTGAGAGGGTGCATCAATGCGGGGTGTGCAGCTGGCGCGGCGGTGGCAACTGCCGGCTTCGGCTTGCTGACCTTCGTGTTGCTTTTAGCGAACTCCAGCCGAATCGTTTGCGGCATGTCGGGGTCGAATCGGACGCCCTGCTGTGAACAGCCGCGAGCGGTGCGGCGCTCCGATATAATGACGATGGAACGGCAGCCGCGTCCGCCAGCGGCACCGACGCCGCTGGTTCAGTGACGCGCATTTGGGCTCAAACGGGAGGAGGACATTGCACTTGGACTTGGAGGACTTAATATTTAGCAGGGATCAAACCATTTGCAGTATCCTCTATAACATTACAAGAGTTTTTGGGCAAAGAATAACTAAAATTGAGAAAGAAATCGTTAATTTTCTTTAATTTTCGAAAGTCCGCGTCCGCGCCTGCTAAAGTGACAGAACACAGTGCTCGGGATGTGACATCAAAACCTGTCAAACAGTGACATGCATTGCGTATTTACACCGTTTTAATATCGTTCAGATGCCGGCTATAATTTAACGGAAGCTTCAGTGTCTTCGGTAAACGCTCGTTTGGTCCATTCGATATGTGCATGGGTTTAGCATAACTTACGATGCGGTTACTCGAGTCAGGAAAATGTTATTCCAAGTCTACAATGAGAATATTAACTATAGTGCTCGTTGGCTGTGTAGGCATGTGATGAGAAGAGGTTTAGTAACACCGTGCGTTTTATATGTTTTATTAGTATTTACATTAGCGTAGTAAGTCCATAATGTATCTCAGTCTCTTCTAGAGATACTGAAGTATCGGCTTGTGGCACTTTACTGTGTTTGGAAAGCCATACAGAGTTTATAAGGCTATATTATGTGTATTTGTGATTTGATTGTACTCCTGTTGTGTTTTATTATTGCAACATAAGAACATCGTAATTATTTTTGTAATCAATAATTTCGATTTACTACTCCTAAATTAAACTCTAGATGGAGTTTGTTCCAATATTCTAAATTTATTAAGTGAACTTTTTGGAACAGACTCATATGACATGGTTATTGTTTATAATAATATTAGTTTTATCTAAATAGCAGCTTGTGATGATACCAACCTGAAGGTCTTGCTTAGCAGCTTCTGCTCCAGCGCGAGTGTGGAAAGTGACAAAGCCGACGGGCTGTAAAACATTCATGTAATCAATACAAAGTTCCTATTCAAGCTGAAATTTCTTCCTATATTAACTGAACAAGTACAAAAGCTAACTTTGACTTAATAAATTATTCACAAACTCACCGACGCTGTTTTCCCATTCTTGCTGGTAACCTTTAACAGGGACCCCTCGTAACCCTGCGTAAACAAAATTACCGACATAAACTATAAGTTCTAAATATAACAACATGAAAGGAAGGTTGTCTAATAAAAAAAACTTCCATAGTTGTTATTACAATGTGTAATTTTTGTATCGGAAGCGGTATGCTATTACCAAATTGCTCCACTTGTTATTGTGGCCATGTCAAAGCGGATTTTCATTTGGGCGACGTACAATTTACTTTCCCAAAAAGGTGCCTGTCGGTGCATGGCACGGTTAGAAACACGCGATAGTCTAAAGCAAACCCCCGGTTATAAGTTCGGCCACCTTTATGTCTGCGGTGCCATCCGTGCCAGCCAAGGATCGAGTGTAATCCCCCTTATCGGTAGACAGGATCGATTCAATCCGAATATTACGGAACGGAGCATGACATTTGATATTTACGACGCAGTAATCCGAATCGGGATCTCCTAGTCGCGTGACGAAGCTAAACTTTAGTCTCCCGGGGTTTACTGTTTGAACGTTGGAATTCTTCTGCCGGTCGTGTATTTATGTGATGCGTGTTTCTGTTTCTATGTCTAACGTGAACTCATCTATGCATAGTATTTTTTCTTGTGACACTACTCTTGCTGATATATTCGTATTGAAAGCAAAAGTATTATGGCTTGTTGATCGCTGTAGGAAACAATGGCGTCGATCATGATTATCTAAACGTAAAACTAAATTTAAGAACAGCTTCCCCTTTTTATACTGTATAGAGAATGACAATTATAGACTGTTGGAAAATTTAAGTTTAGGTTTCGATAATCATGCCAGAATCGACACCAATGTCTCAGAATAATGTCTAAATAGCATTTTAAAATTTAAGCTTAGTCACGTTACCAAATCGACATTATATCGTAGAGACCAGGAAGTAAAACAAATTGTGCATCTTCATTCTAAGTATGAATGGTTTTACACTCTATTAGAGAAGGGTCAGAGATTGTAATAGTCTTACCTCATACGCTCGGAATAGCAAGTATAGCTCTCTTGGTTTCGCGTCCATCGGCAGTCCACTCACGAACAGCGTTCGCACCTGCAACAATAAAAAATAATAATATAGTGACGTAATGCGAAACATATTATCTGGACAGAATTGGGAAAGCACTATTCCAGTAATAATTTTGGTAACATAAAGTTTTGTAGCATTCATACTTATTTTAAAACTTTGAACCATATTGCTGCATTGCTCCGTTTGCTCGTTGAACCATGCTTGTTAAAACGAGCAATACATTATATCAATTTATAAGAATTATAATTCAGCTAACAGGAAAAGTATTTGGAATAAAATCAGAAAGCTTCTTTTTATAATAACTAAGCCATTCAGTATTTACTTCAATTTATCTTGTGTAAGTATTCGGAATTATAAAAATGTACCTGATAAAATTCAACTTTGGCACCGGCTGGCTTTTTACATAAAAGCTATTTTTCTCAAACAAAGACACGAGTCTTTTGCACAGAGCTAGCCACAAAGGGAGATAGAAATCTTTGAATGGCTCTCCCGTTTGATTCGAAAGCTTCGTCGGCTTTGTAAACTGCGCATTAATTCGGTGGGTCCATTTAATGAAATAAAACAGGCCATAATGGCGGCAGATTTGGCGCGTGCGGGAAATGGAGATTAATTGCTGGCAACATCGGCGGGCACCATCTTGTTGCGCGTTTTATTTATGCGTCTGAACTTTCGATTTGGGTTTTCGATAATAAGTATTGACATTTAGGAATACCTCGTCCATGTCATATAGATAGTAGGTATAAATTGCTTAAAATACTATCTTTAATATCATCTTTCGATTTTCGCTATAGGCTATAGGATAACATGATTAAAGCATAACATTTTATGTTTAATTTTTAAACCAAAACCCAATGCTGGTTTGTCAATAGTTGACACATTACGCGAAGGGTGCTCGCATACGTTTCATCGAGCCGTGGCCGCCGCCGGTCCGGTCCGTATCAGGCTGGGTGGACCTTTATGCCGGCTATTTTCCGGTCGAACTCACCGGAATTCCCAGTTTCGATGATACGAGATATTTTTACAGCGACCGCTTTTAACATTACACTACGTTTTGGGCGTTACACAGAAACATTTGGTGTTTCCCATAGTATGATTTTCGCAACGAACCCGCATAGCGAAACTTTTAACAACGGTTTGGTTGTTTATAGCTCGAAGTTGCCTGATTGCCTGTATTATTTTTCACTAATCTTTCTCGAACATACTCACAAAACCAGATTTGGTTATATGAATTAAAGTCTAGATGTTTGGAAGACTTGGTCGTTTTACTTTAAGTCTGGATTCGAATATTTTACAAAGTTACGATTATTTGGATACATTAGCTCTAATTTTACAAGTACTACCTTAACATTTAACAGTCGTGGAGAGTTTTTAAGAAAATTTACGCAACTCGTTGGGCCCGTTGTAGCACAAGGAATGGAATTTTGGGATTGAATTTGCTTTTCTTTCTAGTTGTAGTTTGTTACAACTAGAAAGAAAAGCCTTTATCTGGACCCTGGTGATTCGAGACCTTGATAGACAACTTACTAAACTCAACAATTTGATCCGCCGTTAACGGAAGTCCAGACTAATATTCAGTTCCATATTATAGATATTTCCATACATGTCGACATAATTTTTAACATGCTGCTATATACTTTCTAACTCAATTATGTAATATTCCCAAATTACTAAATAGAGATAATCCATTTTGTAGATAATTGGAGCGAGCTATTCATTTATATATGTATATACTATACGTATTTAAGTGGTAGCAAGCAAGCAGGTCAGTTTACAAACGCCCTCTGTTTCGACCATTTGACGGTCGGTTGATCACGAATCCCTCGGTCAACTATTGAATTATGTTTCATGTTCAGAGAAGGGGAGAATCTAGCAGATAACAAGCGGGTTAATGTTTAAACTATTAAACTTTATGATTGTAATCTTAGGTAAACAATGTTTGTTTTAGCACGTAAGATTGACTAAGAAAGTAACGATGTTTCCAGTTGCATAAAAACTTAGTTGCAAGGAATTCGCAATAAAAACTTCTTTCGATGATGTAAAAATCTTTCGAGCTAGGCAATTCTTATATAATAATTTCCAACATAATTCATTGCAACTCCAAGAGTATTGCATAATCTCGGTCAACGTAATTTCTCCAGCATTTCTTTATTCAAAGTTTTTATTCGTAACCTTTTTCGTATTTTTTTTTATTAACAAAGTTTTTCATTACAATTATTTCGTCACTGAGATCCAAGCGTAGTGGTTCAACTGACACGGTCTATTGCGAATAAAATATAAAGCAAGAACATCTGCGAAGGTGTTTTTCTTTTTGGAGCTTATCTCAATTTTCCGCTCTCACGACTTCTAAAGCGAAACGCGATTCGATTTGTCTACGAAGGTCAGATAACATCTATGGGGTGACATTAATGTAAGGAAAGCAAGAAAAAAATATTCGACATATAAAATCGAATAACCGACGTTCGAAATTGGAAGAGGGCGCGAGGAATAAGGTTTCTTTAGGTATGTTTGAAAGTTTTGCTATGTTAATTTCGTCTAATCCAAGTACAAAAGTAGCAATCATAAACCGTAAGGTCATTGTTCTTGTTAGTCTGTTGTTTTAAAATGGAAATTCTAATTTCAAAGTGGACAAACAGGATTAAACTTAAATTTTATTTACAACTTAAAAAAAGCATTAATTAAAAAAACACATTCCTTAACCTAACACCTTAAAATTTTCTTTAGATTTTAAACTACATTTATGTAGTTGAAAAAGTTAATTGATCGCTTAAATTCAGGCTATGTTTATTGCGCGCGGCCGTTGGGAGACTGGTTCCGCGACCACACCCGCCCTCTCGGCATGCACTAGGGGGACACCGCGGTCCTCAAAGTGCGTGTCGGGTGACGGTGTAGGAGTATTGCCTGGTTTTTAGTGGCCCTGTTCAGGGCGTAGGTAGGGCCCTGTTCACATCAGCGAGCTCCAGGGCTGGCTGAAGAGGACAGGGAGGAGTCCCACATACCTTCTTCTCGCTCCCCCAGTGGTTGAAGGATGCGTAAGGCATTTTCCAGACACAAAAAGGCTATGTTTATTTAAAAAAGGATATGTGCTGTTTACATGTGATAGAAGTGAAACCTACAAAAAAGTGTACACGAAAAGTTCCTTAAAAAAATTGCTGAAAAAAAAATTACAAACATTGGAAAGGTAAGGATTGTTGATAAAAACCAAGCCTGTATTAATAAACAACTTAGGCACCTACCAAATGTTTAATACTTAACTATTCAGGTATTGTAAAATACTGGGATAAATAAATATTCTAGTCTAAAATTGTTTCGAAAAATAAATAATAGCTTAATAAAAGGAAAAAAAAAACAATTAAAAAAATAACCGAGTTCAGGATCGAACCACTGATCATTTGGTGTCGACCCCAAGACCGTTACCGTTCGGCTATCTGTCTCTTGCAGAGAGTTAAAAAATTACGGATACCTTGTGTCAAATACTGTTAAATTTTCGTTTCATCGAGTTTCAAATCACAACGGTGATAAAGAAGTTTTCACTTACAAAAATATTTCCGAAACCACATTAAGTAATACAAAAGCAGAATTTTGACCTAAATATTAATGATTTTGTTGAAACTTTAGTAATAAAATAATAAATAAATATTTCCAACACTCACACCAATTAGCCTAGCCCCAAAGTAAGCACTATAAGGCTTGTGTTATGGGATACTAGGGTAACGGATAGAATACATATACTTTACATATATAAGTATATTTATATAGAAATACATATTAAACATCCATGACTGGAGTACAAATGCTCGTGTTCATCACACAAACATCTGCCCCCACCGGGATTCGAACCCGGGACCTCTCGAGTCGGCGACGCCATGAAACCCGGCGTACAAACCACTCGGCCACGGAGGTCGTCGAATTAATACATTGACAGCTTATTTTATACTTTCGTTTCGGTGTTTTAATTGATTTTTTTGTAAGTACATCATTTTAATTTTCCTGTATGTGGATACCTCATTATATGGCATAGCCTCGTGGCGTGTCGTGGCTCAATAAAATATTCCCCTTCCGTGTAACATAGTTCGTAATCAACAGGACAAAATATGAGCGTTTCTATTTGACAGGGTTATTGTATATTTAAATTTTTTACACATTCCAAAGAAACTGAAGCATCCTCTTGGAGAAGTATTCGTATCTTCCATCTATCATTTAAGTGTACCCTTTTGCACATTTTGCTTCTCATTTTTTTATAATTCTTACAGCGAATTAAAATAAGAAAATCGAAATCAAAATGTTATCTACCTACTCCTCAAATCTGTGAATGATAAATAAAAATGTACACCTGTCAGACGTATTGCAAAAAATATAAAAGCGCATTCACACGATCTATCGGGTCGTGCCTGCACCCGGAGCCCGAGTGAACGGAGCGGAATCTCCCGGGGCAGTACGCTGCGAATTTATCATTTCGCCTCTTGCGTCCTGCTGCCTGCCTAAACGTTCGACGTGACAGCATGACAGCCGCAGTGTGCTACAAATTAATATACAATAAATAAATAAATTATTTTTTTCAACACTCACACTAATTAGCCTAGCCCCAAAGTAAGCACTGTAAGGCTTGTGCTATGGGATGCTAGGGTAACGGATAGAATACATATACTGTACATATATAAGTATATTTATATAGAAATACATATTATACATCCATGACTGGAGTACAAATGCTCGTATTCATCACACAAACATCTGCCCCCACCGGGCTTCGAGCCCGGGAACTCTCGAGTCGGCGACACCATGAAATCCGGCGTATAAACCACTCCGCCCCGGAGGTCGTCAATACTAGCTGTGCCCTGCAGTTTCACCCGCGTTAATTTGAGAAGAAAAGTTAAAATAATGCAACCTTTAAAGAAAGAGAGACATTATGCTTTCGAACGTACACCTGAAAAGGTAAATGCTGTCATAGATTATGTAAGAATTTTTGGAGGAGAACAAATCCGTCGCCTTTCACGCAGCGCCCGCGACGGAAGCTCTCGAAGAAA